GGCAGAGGAAGGCGCAGGCCCCTTTCACAGGGCCTCTCAAACTTTCACTGAAACAACCATGGAAGGGATCAGACCCCAGGCCACCACAGGGCCTTGGAGATGCTAAGTAGCTGACATGGGTGACAAATGAAAGGATGTGGCTTTAGTATAGATGTCAACTAGGAGACCTATATATGAGAAGGTTAAGCTGAAAGGCGAGAGACACACTGGAAATACAGGATGTCAGGATGTTCTCCATCATTTAGGGAAGTAGGTCCTTTGGAGGGGGGAGAGGAAACAGAAGGAAAAGTGCCAACTTTCAACAGTGACTGTCTCTGGAAAGTGGAATTATTGTTCTATTTCTCTATACTTCTTAAAATGAAAATGAGTATGCTTTGTTTTTATCATCAGAACAATAAATAAAATTAAATCACATCATTGATTCATAAGGCTAACCTCAAACTTCTGGTAATGACTTAGAAAATCACCACTGAATTTTAATACTGCTTGATATGTTACTGTTACATCTAACCCTATAAAACATGCATCCAGACACTTCAGAATGCTATTGTGTAGTTTAAGTATAAAATGCCAATAACCACAGAAAACCTCATTCTTTTCCTTCATTCAATTCTTATTAACCAAATCACTGATCCCAGATCTGAGCATCTACCTGTCCAACTTCTCAGGACTCTGTTTCAGATGATTTAAGTGCATCAGTGAACTCTTGCTGGTATGTTTGTAATAGAACCACATCCTCACATTTATGGACAGCCACATTCTCTTTGGAGCCTTCCCTCTTCCAGTTAACACCTGCTCCTGCCTCTACTCAGGAAAAGAAGGAGGCCCCCAGAGGTCAGAACTGAGATAACCAGGACTTCCTGTGGGCCCCTAAGGGCACTTTTCTAAGGGAGTGCTGAGCTCCCGGGAATGTCTCAGTGCTTTGGGACACAGCAAGAGTCTCCCTATTCTTTGCAACCCCAGGCTGAGCACTGGACTCCTGCATGTCCTGCATGTCCACTGCTCATCTGTCAGTAATTACGGAAAGAACTGTGAAAGTTCTGGTTGTGTTTCCGATTTGTTTCTGACGAGATCTATTTATCTTAGGGTTGCAAAATTCCCCAGCCACCCATTGTCCCCCTGTAGAGTGGGGCAGACACACACATCTCTCTGTGACTGGGCCAAGCCTCCAAATCCCAGCACTTGAGCTTATCCTGTGGAGGTGCTCTCCCACCATCATTCTCCTCCACTTGTTTTTTGTTTTGCTTTGTTTTTTGAATATCAGAGAAAGACAGAGAAAGAAAGCACTCCCAAATGCTTGCAACGGTCAGGACTGGACCAGACAAGCTGGAAGCTACAAATGCAGTCCAGGTCTTCCAGGTGGGTGATGGGAGAACTCAGTTACTTGAGCCATCACTACTGCCTCCCAGTGTCAGCATTAGCTGGAGTCAAGAACTGGAGCAGGCGCCGGTGCTGTGGCGCAGCAGGTTAAAGCCCTGGCCTACAGTGCCCGCATCCCATTATGGGCGCTGGTTCGGGTCCCGGCTGCTCTACTTCAGATCCAGCTCCCTACTAAATGCTCCTGGGAAAGCAGCAGAGGATGGCCCAAGTCCTTGGGCCCCTGCATTTGATGTGGGAGACTGGAAGAAGCTCCTGGCTCCTGGCTTTGCACTGGCACAGCTCCGGTCATTGTGGCCACTTGGGGAGTGAACAGCGAATGGAAGATATCTCTCTCTCTCTCTCTCTCTCTCTATATATATATATATATTTATATATATATATACACACACATATGTATCTCCATACCTCTTTCAAATAATAAAATAAAATAAATCTTAAAAAAAAATTGAACCACAGCAAGGTATTGAACCCAGACACTTTGATTATGAGATGCCGGCTTCTTAACCAACAGGCTAAAGGTCCACTCCCACTCTGCACCACTTTAAAAGCTGATGAGTACTCCATCCTGCGGAGAGGATGAACAGTCACAGCCCCAGGCAGTTAAGTAGTGTGAACAGCCAAGCAGAGTCTCTCTGTCTTAACTTCTCTTTGCCATTATTTGCCTGATTATTACCCAAAGGAGCTGCCTGACTGCGGAAGCACAAGACACAAAATGTGTGGAGCCCAGCGCAAGAGTAAAGCGAGGCCGGCGCCACAGCTCACTAGGCTAATCCTCCACCTTGCAGCGCCGGCACACCAGGTTCTAGTCCCGGTCGGGGCGCCGGATTCTGTCCCGGTTGCCCCTCTTCCAGGCCAGCTCTCTGCTGTGGCCCAGGAGTGCAGTGGAGGATGGCCCAAGTGCTTGGGCCCTGCACCCCATGGGAGACCAGGAGAAGCACCTGGCTCCTGCCTTCGGATCAGCGCGGTGCGCCAGCCGTGGCGGCCATTGGAGGGTGAACCAATGGCAAAAGGAAGACCTTTTTCTCTGTCTCTATCCACTCTGCCTGTCAAAAAAAAAAAAAAAAAAAAAGAGAGAGAGAGAGTAAAGCGAATCACTCAGTAAACGCTAAAGAAAACAGAACTCGGTGATGTCGGCAATCCCCCTCACCATATCTACCCCTGGGCTCCATGGCTTTCCTTAATAACCAAAGCCATGCAAATCCGTAAGGAACTGACTGTCCGACTTCCAGGGTGCTGTTATAACAACGGGCGTAACTCTGACTTTACTCTGAGGTGCCAACAGCAACTCCTTTGATGCAACCGCTGCCCTTGCACGCAAAAAGGGACACGAAAAGTAGACTGTGCTTTGTTGGGTGGCAAGCAGTTTTCTGTTTTCTGTTTTCCCATGTGGAAAATAAAAGGGACCAGGATCCGGCCACATGATTTTGGAAGTTCCTTACAGGGCTAGCATCCTGACCAACAAAACTGTACTCTAGTGCCAAGGAGAAGTACAAGAGTGAAACACCTTGGCAACTGGCAGGAAAGGAACAAGTGCAACGGGGAGATAACGGGGCCAGCAGAAAACAGCAGGTTAACTTTGGGTGGGGGGGACACCAACCTCCGCCTCCTGGTGTTTTCCAGTTTTCCACATTTTCATCTGCCAAATACAAAAATAATTAGCTACTTCTGTGGGACTCTCAGGAAAAAATTAATTAATAAAGTGAAATCAATGAAAACAAGTCTTTGTTCTGCCAGGAGTGGCTCAGGAGCGACTCACTAAGACACTTTTCCTCCAGCCGGCTGATGTCAACAGCCCATGCTTTTGCCCAAACAAAGGCCTCCTGGCACCAGGATGAGAGGCAAAACATCTAAGTCTCCAGAGTTGGCCCTCTTCCAATTTGAAGGGAAGGGGCAGTCGTGAAAGAAAAATAACCAAGCTTCCGAAAGGCTAGAAGGAGAGTAAGGAATTACTAAATCCCTCTCTTCTCAACAGACTGTAAGAACTCTCAAAGGGAGAGTTCAATCTGAATTACTTTCTTTGTTTAACTCTGCTCTGCCTAAGGCCACCATAGCCACAACCCACCCCCCACCCCACCCCCACCCCGGTGTGGGCGCAGCGTGGGAGTTGGGAGACCCACACTCAAGTGATTTCCCCAAGTTTCAACTTAGACAAGGGGCTGGACTCCCGGGCTTGACTTCCTGCCCCCTAAAGCAAGCAAGTGCCACTGGACGCTCTCCGACCCTTCAGTGAGAGCGGTGCGGGGCCGGCGGCTGGCCAGCTCCTCCCCAGGGGCAAGTTAACCTGCTGTCCTCGCCAAGGCAGGCGGCAGCGCCCCGGCTCAGCGAGCAGCCCCTCGGGCAGTCGGCGGCGCCCTCACCGCTGCCACCACGCGCTGCCACAGCCTTGCCGCCTTGCTCCCGCCCCGGCACCGTCGCCCACGAGGCCGGTTCAATCCCCAGTCCCGCTCACCGCTGCCGACCCCGTTCCGAATTAGTACGGTCGCCAAAGTTCAACTCGGCAGATGTGAGCAAAGAAAAAAGCCAAGCAAACAAAGGCCTCTCTTTCCAGACCTCGGAATTTCCTTCAAAGAGACGCAGACAGAATTGAAAATAGAAGGCCCCCTCTAGAACAAGAGGCCTCGGCTGGCCTTGTTGGGGAAACATGTAACGAGCCAAGAGGAGCCCGTGACACCCAGGGTCCAGGTGCACGGACCTACCAGGCAACACGCAGGCGACACCCGAGACCGCACTGGGTTTTGATTTAAATCCGACTGTACCTTCTGCGGGCTGGGGCGGCGCTCGCGGTCTCCCAGCAGAGGCAGTAGCCGGAGAGCGGGGACAATGGTGCGCGGGGCACGGTCCTTTATGGGGTGGGGGGAAAGAGACCCTTCACTCAATCCACATCTCTGCGAAACCTCCGTAAGGTGGAGTGGAGGAATTGTCCCCCTCACCCCCACGGAAAGCGCCACGGCCGGGGACAGAGCTTCCGCTTGGGTACCCTGTTTGTACCTGCTTTCTCCTTTTGCTTTTTCCCCCCTTTGAAGTCTGGTTGCTTATTCGGATGCCCAAGGGGTGCCTTTTCAACGTCTCTCCCGCCCTGTTCGGGCAAGTGGTGCCCGCAGCGCCGCTCCCAGCCGCGCAGCAGACAATGGCCAGGCACCGATGGGCGGCTCAGAACGGCTTGCGGTGCGCCCAGATCCCTCGGCAGGGTGCACGTGTGTTTGTTATGGTGCCGTGCTCCCTCCCCCGCGGCGGGCCTCCACTTTCCGACCTGCAAACCCAACAGGCAGCCTCTGAAGGAACCCAGACCCTGAAAGGCGTCCCGCCCCCATCCCCCCTACTGACGGTGCCATGGAGAAACAGAGGTTCCCGAGGGCCCCGCGCACGTGGGTTTGTTGTGGGTCTGCAGGCTTGAGAAACCAGGGCAGCCCCCTGCTCCGGCCCGGGCAAAAATTCAAACACCCTTGGCCAGAAGTGGCTGACGCCACGGCGAACGCGGCTCCGGCGGCGCTGGGGACAGACCCCGTCCCTGCGCCCTATGTGCGCCCCTGGCCCAGCCGCTCGGCGCTCCTGCGCCCCCTTGCATCACTCCTTTCAGGGAGCCCAGGCCGCGCTGTCGCCCACAGCACCCCGCTACTCACTGGCTGCGCCCTGAACCGCGCAGGCTGCTGCAGCTCCGCCCGCTCCGTGTGTGCAGCCCGCTCCGCGCCCAAGCCGGTCGGTAGCCGGCTCCCTTTGTTAGCAGCGGGCAGTGCCCCAGGCGTCTTCCTCAGCCCGGCCCTGCCCAGGACTCCCCTCCCCCCGGCGCCTCCGGACTCCCCGCTCGGCTCGGGCAGAAGAGCTCTGGAGCTGGGAGCTCCACGAGGGAGTCCCAAGGAGGAGGGGTCCGCTGGGAAGCGGCGGGCGACCGGGGATGTGGCGTGGAGGAGCCCGGGGAAGGAGGGAAGAAGAGCGCGCCGGAGGGGCGGGAAGGAAGCTAGCAGTCTCTGTTATGCAAATACAGTCGCTGGGACAAGGTGGGTCCCGCGGGTAGGCAAGTCCCAAACCAGCCTGGCCCTCCGGAGGTCGCTAGCGAGCGGGCTCCGGGTTAAGGGTGCCGCCAAAGGCGTGATGCCTGTCTCTGCCTTCCCAGGAGAAGGTAGGACCGAGGCGGGGGGCGGGGCGGGGCCAGTGCGGCCGCAAGAACCCCCAAATACTGCGTCCTCGTGCGCGCAGCGTGTCGGGGTTCCAGGTCCCTTTTCTGCTCCCGCCTGGCGCTGTGACCCTGGGCAAGTCACTAAGCTCTCTGAAGACCTGCGTTCCTTTTTTTGATAGAATACGGAAGTACGAAATCTATTGTGTAGGTTTGGGCACCTGCTAACGTCGGGCGTGGCACATAGTAGGCGCTCTCAAATAGCACATTAGGAAAAGCAGGGGTGTCCTTGGAACCCTTGCACCCGGGGACTTCCACCGCGAGCTGGTGGGCCCCTGGAAGGGCGTAGGCCTCAGCGAAGCTGTAAGCGAGGCGATTCCAGCCTTCCACCTGGGCTAGGGCCGGGCAGCCGGGGAAGGCAGGACGAAACAGCCTGTTGACCAAGCACTGTGGCTGCGAACTGACTGCCTAATGGCCCCTCAGCCACTTCCCCAGGACGGAACACTGCTGACAGCAGTCTTCGGGCCATTGCTCCAATCTCCCATAGCCTAGAGAGGGGGAGAGGACTCCCAGAGGCAAGGATCCTGTCTCGGGGAGCTACAGGAAGCCCACAGAGCACTCAGCTCCGACAGGAGTGGGGGTGGGGAGAGTGGAAGGCTGGCTGGGTCCTCAGGCCCAGAACTCTATCTTCCAGGTCCAGGTGGCCACCGCCACCCCCAAGCTGGGAAAGGGAAGTTTCGTTCTCATCAGATCCCCAACACCCTTCTTCCAATGGCTGCTTCCTCCCTCTGGGATCCTAGCCCCTTCCTGCTCACTCACCTTTCCCCTGCAGCCCTGGAGGCATTGCTGCCCCTTGCGTAGCAGCTAGGTGAGGAGGGGACCAGCCACAGTGAATTCAAAATTCTGACCTACTAGCTGTGCATTCTTGGCCAAGTTCCACAGCCTGTCTGAGCCACCATGCCTTCTTCTGTGATTTGGGGCTACACAGGATGGCACTGCTTTCAGGCCTGGGTGAAATGCTGTCTGGGTGAAGCCCTTGCTTGGTTGACCCTGGAAGGCACTCCAGTAAAAGGAATGAATGAATGAGCAGAGGCAGACAAACTCAGAAGAATTTCTGGGAGGAGGCCGCTCGCAAGAGTTTAGACTTTGGTTTTTTCGATTTTTCTTTTTTTTTAATATAGAAGCTATTAAAAGATGTTGTGACTTGGCGTGCCATGCATCTTTGTGTTGAATGCTACTTTCTCTGGCATTATTCTGGAAAACAGTTTAAGGGAGCAGAGAACACAACCCAGGAGACAAGTGTGGGAGCCAACATCACTGCACATAGAGATAAGAGCCCAACTGTGGCAATGACAGAGGGAATGAGAAAAGACACGTTGATAATAGCTCCTACTTGGAAAGTAAATGCACTTTGCTTACTTGTTTATTGTCTTATTCGAAAGGCAGAGAAACAGAGAGAGCTCCCTCTGACTGGCGGGGATTCCACATGGATCTCCCATACAGGTGGCAAGTACCCAACCACTTGAGCCATCCCCAGCTTTCTGCCAGGGTCCACGTAAGCAGCGAGACTGGACCCAGCCTGGTACTCTGATATGAAACATGAGCATCTTAACCACCTAGACCAAGGGCCCGCCCCCACTTTGTTTTTTATATTGTCTCTCCTCATCACAAGAGAGGTGGTGGTTTGAGCCCCATTTTACCAATGAAGAAAGTAGAGGAGCCAGACTCTGAAGCCTCTTCCACACTCATTTAAAGTCTTCGTCATTTCCTTCACCACCACTTGCTTGTCAGCATCCCATAGCAACTAAGAACACAAGAGAGGCTCTTTTCAGAGGCTTTCCTGTCCCGGTTCCATAGTTCTCTTTTGCAAAAAGAACTGCAGCCAAATTGTAGAGAAAATAAGGAAAAAACACTCATCCAGGATTCTTGGCTTATCTGAGATGGTCAGCGATGATATGACAAGCCCAAGAAGTCCCTGAGGCTCTGGGGCAGGCCAGCGTGCTCCTGGCCAAATTCCAGGGTGGGTGCCGGGGGCCAAGTGCCTTCCATTAAGGCTCCTCTCTGGCCAGCTGAGGCCTTGTGAGCCCTAAGTGAGAGACTGGAGGCTGGGCTGTGAGTTGGTGATGGTCCTGACCTCAGCCCACTGGTTGTCTCTGGTCTGTATGCCTTGGCCCAACTTTCCACCAGACACCATCAGTTCTGTGACCTCTGCCCACTGCTCCCCACCCCCGCTCAGGTTGCAATGTTTGTGTGTCCCCAAGGTCAATATGTTGAAACACCAACCTTGTGGTGACCGTGTTGGGAAAGGAGGCCTTTGAGAAGATGACCAGGTCAGGAGGGCAGAGCCCTCATCGGTGGGATCCGTTCCCTTATAAAAAGGAGACTCAAAGTAGGCCTTCTGTCGTGGGAGGGCACAGCTAGCAGATACTACCCACAAGCCCTCAGCAGACACCAAATCTGCTATCCCCTTGATCTTGAACTTCCCATCTTCCACACAAGTGAGAAATGAATTGTTGTTTAGAAATAGCCATGGAAATGTGTGGTGTTTTTTTGTACAGCCTGAATAGACTACAACCCCATCACCCACCTCCAAGTTCAACTTTGGTCCACCCATAGTGTTTTAGGTGATGTCGTTCTGTCATCATTTTAGGCTTTTCTAATACAAATGAAGTCCTTCCTACAGATAATGCTCATTTACAACAACCTATTTGCAAACAATGTTTTCACAGTGCTCTTGAATTGGAGGCAGTGTTATTACAAAGGGAGGTAGGAAGCAGTTGAGATTGCCCTCCCAAATCCCTCTTCAGCACGCCACTTTTTTTTTACTATTTATTTATTTATTTATTTATTTATTTTGAGAGACAGAATTACACACAGGGAGAGGGAAAGACAAAGAGATTCACTTTCCAAATGGCCGCAATGGCTGAAACTGGGCCAATCTAAGCCAGGTGCCAGGAGCTTCTTCCGGGTCTCCCACACAGGTACAGGGAACACTTGGGCCATCTTCTGCTGCTTTCCCAGGCCATAGCAGAGAGTTGGATTGGAAGAGGAGCAACTGGGACTCAAACCAGCGCCCATATGGGATGTTGGCACCACAGGCGAAGGATAAACCTACTGCACCACAGCACCAGCCCCTTCAGCACCCTGCCTTTAAGACCCTGAAATAAACCTCACCATTTTCCTTCTCTCCATCCCACATGCACAGGCTGCCCAGTGCCAGGATAAGCTCAGGGACCTAAAGGAAGTGTGGTGTCTGAAAGCCCCCTTTGTTGGCTCTCAATACTGTCAACTTTAAGGATGAAGACATATACACACAACTACGTCTGCATAACTCAAGATCAGAAAATAGAAACAGAATCACAGTGTCTCTAATTTAAGCACCCACCTGACTGCTGTGAAACAGACCGCCACAGATGGGGGAGTGGAGGGGAAGTGGGTGCAGGGCAGAAGAACACCAGAAGATAGAGGCTGGAAGCCAGAAACAGGTGTCTTCAAAGGACAGCAGCCGCAAGACAGGGGAAATGGCTGGCCCCACAGCCTCCAGGGCAGCGAACAGCAGCCTCTGCCTCCAAGACCTCGGAGCAAAGTGGGGATATGGTGTGATCTGGCTGCGTCAGAGAAACACACCCAGCAGGTAGGCACAGGAGCAGTTGAACTGACTTCCCCCCACCCCCACATCAACGTCAGTGGCCAGCCCCAACCTAACATCACTGGGGAAGATACCAGGAGAAACCAAGTCAGCATTCTCAAAGCACCTGTGTTTTAAGCAAACGATCTCTTGGTTCAAAGTAGTAATAGCTGCTGTGTACTGGCCATGCAGTGTGTGCAAGGCAGCCTATATTTTCACTGCATGTGCCCCTGGGGAAGGGGAGAGCATTTTCAAGACCTTGATGGACCTAAGCCATCCTGAGCTGCTCTCCCTGTCCTTGCCTTGAGGCCAATTTTTTTTTTTTTAAGATTTATTTACTTATTTGAAAGGCAGTTACAGAGAGACAGAGGCAGAGACAGAGTCTTCCATCTGCTGGCTCACTCCCCAAATGGCCACAATGGACAGACCTGTGCTGATCCAAAGCCAGGAGCCAGGAGCTTCCTCCAGGTCTTCCCACGCAGGTGCAGGGGCCCAAGGACTTGGGCCATCTTCTACTGCTTCCCCAGGCCATAGCAGAGAGCTGGATCAGAAGTGAGGCAGATGGGACTAGAACCGGTGCCCATATGGGATGCTGGCACTGCAGGCGGTGGCTTTACCCACTATGCCACAGAGCCGGCCCCAAGGCCAATCTTAGCATGAGATTAACACATGGCGGAGAAGGGAATTGGGGATGACTACAGATCTGACTCCAAAAACATTAACAATTCAGAGATGCTGTTATTGATTTTTTTTAAAAGAGATTTATTTATTTATTTGAAAGGCATACTGGGCCGGCGCCACGGCTCACTAGGCTAATCCTCCGCCTGTGGCGCCGGCACACCGGGTTCTAGTCCCGGTTGGGGCGCCGGATTCTGTCCCAGTTGCTCCTCTTCCAGTCCAGCTCTCTGCTGCGGCCTGGGAAGGCAGTGGAGGATGGCCCAGGTCCTTGGGCCTTGCACCCGCATGGGAGACCAGGAGGAAGCGCCTGGCTCCTGGCTTCAGATCAACATGCCGGCCGTAGCAGCCACTTAGGGGGCGAACCAACGGAAAAAGGAAGACCTTTCTCTTTGTCTCTCTCTCTCACTGTCTAACTCTGCCTGTCAAAAAAAAAAAAAAAAAAAAGGCATATTGGCAGAGAGGGAGAGAGAAAGAGAAATCTTCCAACTGCTGGTTAACTCCCCAGATGGCAGATGGTGGCAACAGCCAGAACTGGGCCAGACCAGAGCCAGGACTCAGGAGCTTCTTCCGGGTTTCCTACCTGGGTGCACTTGGGCCATCTTCCACTGCTTCCC